AATTATCTCATTTAGTAGTTTAAAGCATTTCCGTGCTTTTCATTTGTGTTTCTTGGCACTCTTTTCATTTTTTGCATACATTTTCTTGATTTTAATTGTTTGGTAGGTGAGACCTTTACGAAGTGGAGGGCGTTCTTTCACGATCAGTAAGTGTCTTCGCTTCCATTAGCTTTTTCTTAACTAAAAGTGCTTTGAGAAACTGTAGGTCATCCAGCATCATTTAATAACAGTCGTTTTTGAGCCGGTTTTTACTTCGGAAAATTTATGCCGGAGAGTGCCACCCATAGGAGTCGCCGCTGTTTAGTTCATGCAAAATTCCTTGCAGTATCGCGATTAACTCAAAATCTTCAACTTCAATCCGAAATCTCATAGTCTAACGCCTAGTTTTTTTCCTGGCTCGCTTTTAGTTCTTGTCGAATCATGCCAGCTATCCTCGCCCACCCCATAAATGAGCTGAAAATTGGAGAATGGTTACTACAAGGAGGAAGAATCCATCAAATTGGTGCAGCAAATGGCCATTTCCATTGGTTATAAAATTATAGCTACTCGAGGCTATGATGTGAAGAAAGATGCTGGTCCCTAAACGATAACCACGGAAAAGCTAAGTTCACGTTTATCCCGTTCATCCTTCCCTTCATTTCCGACAAAGAAAGTACAGCTGTAAAATGTTGCTTAAAATGGCAGCCTTAGAAAAATGGATAGCAGTGATTGGAATGTCTTACTTACACGGATACTCGGATGACCAGTGCTCACTGGTTTTATGGGCACCAGTATAATTTAAATTTTTCGGAAGTTGTTTTTTTTCTTTTTTCCTTCCTATCCTTTTTTGAAACGCATCGTCTATTCAATCGATGGCTTATTCAGCACAGATATCGGTCCGGACGTCAGCTGTAAAAACCTTTTCTGTCTTTTGAAATCTGCGGATCATCCTTTTACGAACCAGTTCATTAGGCTGGAACTTTACTAGTGCTGGATTGTTGTTTCGATTCTAACAACTGAAATGAATTTTGGTTACCGTGAGGAATGCGTGGATATAGCAAATACACAAATAGACTCAAATTATGCTGCAAAACATTTCCAAATGCCGACAGCAATGTTGTTGGTATGATAAACCACAATAAGGTGGAGTGAATTGTATATCACTTATATCCATAGAGCGGTAGAGGAAAATCTCTCTCGAAATACTCGCATATCCTCATTTCCTCAGCTTTTTACCATCGATGTCTTACTGGCTATGTTAGGAATGCTAGTGTCGCCGTAACGCCTAAAAATTAGGCGTCGTCATGATGGCATTAAAGTAAACATTGGTGTTGAACAAAGCCAACTTGTTTGCATTTTTATTGAATAACACGGTAGTCTACAACGTTGGCAGGAAAGGTGCCATTAAACACGATTGGTTAGATACTACGCGTGATCCAGTTATCTGCTGGAGTTCAAGGTGTTCGATCATGTGAAAGCTCTTGAAACAGCTTCATATGGCAAGCCAAGTAGAGGTGCACTATCGTCACTGATGAACTCATGAAGCTTATTCAGGAAAACTTCCAAGTCTCTCGTTAAGCAACTCGGTCGGTCAGCTAGCCAACTAACCAATGAAACATGGAGCATCAGAGGGTTTTCGTCATATACGGCTTGATTTTCTTTCCTTGTTCGACAACAAATTTTCGAATCTGCAGTTGGATCGAATCTTTGAACTAGGAAAGCGGTGATCGGATCAGTTAAAAAATGATGACACTTCGGGTGGAGTAACACATCCAGTTTGTACTCGTCGGCTGCGTCAGTCAACTACTAGCAATTGATAACAGTAATATTATTACAATGCTTGGATGGCAAACGAAGAGCTACCAAGCAAGGTGAAACGATCTTGTACAAATAGAACAGATCGGTAATGAAAGAATGGAAGACATCGCCTAGCCACAGACATTCGTGACCAGGTGTCTGCGCTGTGGATTACAATAGTATCGTAATCTACTTGACGTATGTCACTCTCTCGTACTTCTTAACTCCAGTACAGCAATCGCATGAAATTTATGCCACCAACCACTTTAACGATGGGGTATGATTGCATTTAGAGAGGCTTCTGAGAAAGGAACAAAGACTGTTACTGTTACTCTGCACCTATAACACATAAATGGTCCAGCGTGGTTGATGCCTTGGGTGGTTTATTGCTGTTTAGGCCACTTGTTCTTTCCTTATGCCCTCGCGTAGCGACCTTAGTGCATCTTGGGGTATTCACTACAATATGGGTTCGTCAGATGGAAACTTTGCGATCCACTAGGTTACGATACCTAGGTCGAATGTGATATAGGAGTATAAATAAAAAAGTGATTGATCGCTTTAATCGCGGTGTTTGTAACAAGGAAGAATGCGAGGAAAAGTGAGTGGCGACAATCCGTACGGAAATAATGCTGCCCTCACTCTTGATTTGGCATGTAATTAACCCCACTGTAGAAAAACTCTGCTTAAGTATTTACCACGTTTTCATCATCGTTCAAATTAGCAATGAAGTGCTTAGTAGAGGTTGTAAAACAACCTCGACAGGCGAATATCGTAAATATCGTCATACTATCAATTCGAACGTATTTTTGTTCACAATGTGTATTGACATAAATCCACGGATCTCCCTCTTATGAGGGATCTCGAGCCGGTTAGTCGCGAGGCTACGTGGCGCGTTCCCAGGTGGCGGATAGAGGTTTAATCGCAGACTAAAAGCGTACTTTGCTCCTCTGAGACGCAGATGGATCCAGGGGAAGGACTCCCTGTTTTTGCGGCGCTGATTCGGGACCTACTTTCTGTATTTGTTAGGCGTATTCATGCATGCGTGTGTGGGTGCATTCTCGCTTATGCGGATTGCACTCTAGACAATTCGGCGAAAAGCCTGCAATCAAGTAAGGGGAAAGTATAGGGGAAGCGATTAGAAGTCGTCTCCAATAAATAAGCTCCATTACCACTTTGAAAGAGAATGGTAAGCTACCTGTGAGTATACCCAGCAGCCACGTTCAAAACACAGCAAACTATACGTGGGTGTCAAAATGATAAACACAGTAGAAAAAAACGGGCCCCATCTCCTGACTCCGAAAGAGCTCCAATTTCGCAGCGTTGGGTGCGACTAGAACGGAGACTCTGCAAAATCTCAGATCCAATGAAAGCTGCCGGAATCACGAAGAACTATGGTGACGAGCTGCACCTACAATGCACGTTCACTTGCATCCTAGTCCTCGATAGAAGACTTCCTCACACAAGCAACAATGATAAAGTACGATACCGTCAGCCTAGCCGAGACGAGACGGCGCCACCCATTCAACGCCATCTATGACACCGGAGAAGAACTGTTCTTCGGAACATGCGACAGTAGAGAAGTCGGCGGCGTAGGGGTTCTCGTCAACACCAGTTTGTCCATGAACATTGAATCATTCGAACAGCTTACAATCCGAATCGGACGTTTACGATTAGAAAGATGAGGATCAACAGCGGCTTTGACAATCTTCGTCGTTTACCCGCCGACGTCAAACTATGACGAAAAAGAAGTCAAAGCGTTCTATGTGGACTTGGAGACGTTTTAAAGAGAAGATCATACATTCTTCAAGGTCATCATTGAAGATTTCACTGCCAAGATTGGACCAAGAAGAACGTCTAAAGGACGTCACATTGGAACCTATGAATTTGAATGGAAAAAACAGGGTGAGCGGCTACCTGAGTTTATCACGGCGACCAAGACCATCCATGGTAACTCACAATTATAGAAGCCCCACCCTCAGCATTGAACGTGGTAGTTCTCTAATGGAGGGTACCATAACGAAATAGACCACATCATAGTAGAGAAAAGGTTTTGCCTAAAGGATGTCGTTGTTGTCCCAAAATTCTACACAGGATCAGGCCATCGTCTCTTTCGTGCAAGGTTCTAATTTTTACGGAAAGGAGGAAAAGCCGCTAAATTTAAAACCCCAAGTCCCAGAACCACCACAAAGTGGACTTATTCAATTTATTAGTAAGCTGTTGGGAAGATGCCGTTGTCGATAACATCGACGAGGAATACGATCGGCTCTTTCAACATCTTCACGTTAGCGCTATAAAAGCTGAGAGTTCGACAGTCCCCAAGAGACGTCTGTCTCTAGATATACTCGGGCTGATACGCCAGTGTGGAATCACATGAGCTACAGGTAACCGAGAACTAACGTCCGAATTTGCAAAACAATGCAGGCAGGAGATGAAAGAAGATCTTAAAGGGAGAAGAGCAGCATTAATGGTCGAAGCTAAAGAGGCTGGGAAAAGCATTCGCAAAACCCACTGAAGCCTCGCCAACTACAAGACCAAGATGATTGCACTCCGACGCGCAGACGGAACAGTTACAACGTCTAGAAAGTCAACGAAAAAAATCATTCATAAATACTACTCAAATCTCTTCGAAAGCCACGTCCACTTATCGTAATATGAAACAAGGGAGGATGGATATGTTGTACCATCGGTTCTTCTCTCCGAAATCCGATATACTATTTCGTCGGTGAAAGATCGAACATCACCAGGTCCGGCGGACAGAATAAGATAAGAACACCTGAAGAACCATTCGCCAGTCCTCGTATACACACAGGGTCTGCTCTTCACACGTTACCTGTCGGAATGCAAGGTCCCTACTCAGTGGAAGACTAGCAAGACCGTGTTATCGTTTAAGAAAGGTGACATACACGATATCGGCAACTGTCGTTCAATTCATCCACACGGTAACAAGACTCATTGAAGTATCGCGAGAGTACAAAAGACCGCTCTGTCTCACTTTCATCGATTTACAGAAGGCCTTTGATTCAACTGAGATAGAAGCAGTCATAGAAGCCGTTGATAGTCAAGGAGTCTCTACTCAGTACTTAAAGACTGTTCGTGAGCTGCATAAAAATTTCATAACCAAGATATCACCATTCTACAACGATATTAGCGTTGCCGTCAAAAGAGGAGTTAGGAAATGCGATACAATCTCGTCAAAATTATTTACCGCCACCCTCCAGAACGTTATGCGAACATTGGAATGGGATAATATGGGAATGAAAATCGATGGTCGACAGTTACATTATCTTCGCTTTGCTGATGGCGACGACCTTATAACACGAAAAATTAGCCAAGCGGAACGCATGCTTGCCAACTTTGATAAAGCCTGTGTAAAGCTTGGTCTTCCACTAAATCTCACAAAAACGATGTTAATGAAGAACGGATTGGTTCTTTTAGTTTTCGGTTGCCTGCATCTCGTGCGATTCCACGCTGGCGTATGAGCTCGAGTGTTTCTGGAGGCAGACGTCTCTTTTTGACTTTCGAACTCTCAACTTTCAAAGCGCTAACGTGAAGATGTTGAATGAGCCGATGGTATTCCTCATCGATGTTATCGACAACGGCATCTACCCAACAGCCAATGAATTGAATGAGTCCCAGTTAGCCGCTCACCCTGTTCGTTCTATTCTAATCCGTATGTTTCAATGTGAAATTCTTCTTGGTCCAGTCTTGGCGTTGAAATTTCCAATGATGACCATGAAGAATATATGGTCTTCTTTGTAAAACTTCTCCAAGTCCTTGTACAACGCTTCGACTTCTTCGTTATAGTTTGATACCGACGCGTAAACGACGAGGATTGTCAAAACCGGTATTTATCCACATTTTTTCAATCCTACACATCCGATTCGGGTTGTAAGTTGTTCGAATGAATCGATGTTTATAGACAAACTCGTGTTGGCGAGAACGCCGACGCCGCCGACTCTTCGTGACCTTGTTCCTCAGTATGTTACACGAGCGACAGGATGACTACTGTTCTAATCATCTAATTTCTTTAGAAATATCTAAGACCATAGAGCAACAATTTTATGAACAACGGCACAACAGATAGCATAGACGATGTTGAACAGGAAACCTAATGTTTTGTCCTGGTTTTTGCATGCCATGAGAAAAGTAATGGGAATCTCATCTTCTTCCAGAAATACTCATGAAGTTTTGAACAACAACTTTTCTCTTCTTGGCTTTTTTTTGAGCTGCTTTCAATATGTTCAACTCCACTCATCGTAGCTGCTTCACTAAATTGTTGCTGCTGGCGTTAATTTTTAGCAGGAACAGCGACTCGGCTTGATTACTTAAAAAATCCCATACAACATGTGGGCATTGAACAAAAGCCCAAACGAAGCTTTCCCACTCTAGTTTTAAACTTCTAGACAGCATCTCCTGACAAAGTGGTTCCCTTCGAGTCTCTTTATGTCCAGACGTTAAAACCTCCAGTGAATTTTCGGAAATAGCTTATCAATGAGAGCCGCTGCTCTCAAGTGATAACAAGACCACTTGCTTCGACCAGCTTCACAAGTTGGTAGCAGCTCTTAACAACACTACACACTCATAATAAATCTGCCATAGCAGAGACACGGTTTACGTTGAGTAAACTCTATCAATGAAAGTAGGAAGCCACTTGTGTTTCAAGTTTCATCATTCACCCACCTCAACATTTCAGTACGTGCCACAGAGCCTCACGAATAGCCGGTTGAGATACCTTGGCAATAGCGATTCGCTGTCAGCGAAAGTTAATATGTTAAGGTTAGGCATTATATCATATAAAAATTAAATCAGAAAGACACTGCTAATAGAAATAACAACGATAATGACATTTAATGTTATTGTTAGGGCGCGAAAAGAACAGCTTGCCAAGTCTCTCTTTTATAGCTCCCTAGCAAAGCTTCCTAGGGCTGAGGATCTGGGAACGTTCTAGTAAACATGCACCAAAACTCTAGAAAGAAACCATTCGTTCACAGCGACATTCATGAAGAAGCTGAAGTTCGTAATTAGCAGCCAATTCCGAAGAACTTCATCAATGCCGAATGCGAGACAGCAAACCATGCAAAAGAAGTGCTGCCAACCACACAATAGGCTAGGTCGGGTCGTTCAAAACAAAAAAAGATTGAATGTTACTGCTACTTCATTATAACATTTGCAAAGTCAATAACCTTTCCCACTGTAGGCAAATACAATTACTGAGTTTTTCTATACTATACATTCTGGTTACACCTAGTTGCTAGAACCTACGAATTATTGGGTGCAGAAGTAAGAAATTTGGAAAGCAACGAAATTGGCTGGAATTACCTAATACCACAACTGTTTTTTAACAATCATACTTCAGTCGTATTTACGACTATACCGTTCAACTTCATCGAGTTGTGTTATGACCGTTAAACAAACCAAATTGAGATTTAAAGTTCTAATAAAATTTGGGAGCCGGAACTGGACGCGTGGCTCAGTGGTCTGAGGCGCCCCGCAGAGCACACATGGGATCGATCCCTGCCCACGTGGCTCACCAAGACTTCCATCCCCGCGAAGTCGGTAAATTGGTTTTAGACTAGTCTAGAAGCAGCACTGGCTCGATACATTTGTAGGCGACCGCAAGTCATTGTAAAGGCCAGATATGCATTCAATCACCTCAAAACGATGCTTAATGAAGTCGAATGCAAGGCGCATCCCTATGGGGTACATCAACGCCGAAAGCTTTATTTCTTTCACTGAATTTAAGTCTATATATATATATATATATATATATATATATATATGTATATATATGGAAGCCCCGTAACAACTGGCTATGGTGGACTCGGCATCGTCTCCACATTTTCGGAGTTTTGCTGGCTTAGTCATCGTACTTTCGTGAAGCCCTCAGGACAGCCTAGCCAAAGTCTAACCCAGGTCGCCACCACCACAAGCATTCACCTCTCTTGTAGACAAGAGGGAGATTTGCCACCATGAGACAAGTTTGATACCAGGACGGTGAGGGATGCTGGTACTGGTTTACTCTTTGGTGGCATTTCTGAAGGAAACGTTGGACTAACTCTTAGCACAGGAGGCAATGCTGGGTGGATGAATCCCCTCGCTGCACATCGCAACGCGACTCCCAGAAACACCTTCCAGCCACGACGAGAAGGTAAACATTTGAGAAAAAAAAATATATATATATACATTATAATATATAATACATATTGATTGGGAAGATATATATTTTATAACGTGTAATATATAAATACATATTTATCAATCAGTCTCAACGGTTCACCGCCTCATCGTGGCTGGAAGGTGTTCCTGGGTGTCGGACTGCGATGCACAGTGGAGAACTCATCACCTGGCAGGGTCTGCCAAACTAAGAAAGAGTCTGGCATTTTTATCAAGAAACCTAGCTAAGAGTAAACCAACACCAGAATCTACTACGGTCTTGGTATCAAAGTCGCATGGCGGCAAATCTCCCTCGGATCCATAAGGGCTGCGACTGCTTTTGTGGTGAGGATCTGGGGCAGACTTTTGGCACGCCAAACTAGGGATTCGGGATTCCAGGAAGCCACATTGGCTTAACCAGCAAATCTGCGAGAAATGGAGATTAGCCTGGGATCCGTTCAACTAGTGAGGACGGGCCGTTCATATATCAAGTATTAAGTACTATCTCGTGCCCGTGTGAAACGGGGAAAAATTCAAAGAATTGTGGTTGGATTTCTAATACAAGGGTGTAATTTTTGCGGTTTGTATACTCTTAGTTAGTCTCAGCTTACCGATGAAAGTGTCGAAGTATTACAGTGCAGGCAAAGCTTCATTGGGGTTTACTTTTGTAAGCAGCGTGCAATGCAATTGTTAGAGGTTCCTGCAATACACACTGAAACGGCCGCTAGCTCAATCCCATTTTCACGGCTTACCAAGCCCTATGCCTGTCCAATGTCGGAAGCATTTTTAGCAGACTTCTCTTAGAGAATGAAAACACTAACGCTTTTCACACCAATGAGAAATTGGAATTAGTTGACATTGTTACGAAATCCAATAACTGATCGTTCGATGAAATATACCATGCAACATAACAGTGACAAAATTATGTTACAGATTAAAGCAGATATAACAGCAAGCATTTCATCTTCTGGATATATTTCTATTAATCATATCAAAATGTCAAGTTTCGAAAACATAGAAAGATGTGCGAAGATGGTGAAGCGATACGTCACTCATCTAGACAGTTTGTTCAACAACGTTGGCGTGACGAGTTTCGAAATAAAAACTATCGTTTTTTGCTATTTTATACAGCCACAGATAAAAAACTGCTCTCAGGAAAGGAAGCCGTGTACAAGGGAAAGAATACAGAAAATGGCATCGATTACATGCAAGAAGTCAATGCGACTGGACACCTAGCACTTACTCGGCTTTTACTTCCAATGTTGATCGCTGCTAATGGCCTAGTTGTGGCCACTAGCAGGTCAACACTCTGTTTCTCTTTAGAAAGTTACACATACACATGTACACACATTCACTCACATACACAGACACACACACACACACACAAACTTGGCTTATACTTAACGAGAGCATTCGGGTTTACAGGTATCTTAATAATATCACATAATCACCACTCTTGAAACTGCAATGATCGTTGACTCTTTTGAGCTGGCTTCCGGTAAAATATGCAGTTGTCCCTGTTGCGTCCAAGACAAGTCTAATGGGTTTTGCTCGTTCAGGAAACTCGTAAGGCGCTCTTTTTCCCGTATACTATACGTTCTCCTTGAAGAATTCTCGATTCTATGACTTTCTTTCTGTGCGTTATTCGAAAAAGAGGCGTCAGTCAAGCAGCAGGATTTAAATCTCACATAAAATTTATTTCCATAGTTTGTTCGCGTTTATTAGGTTTTCGGAAATCAATTTCCCATTTCGACCTATATTTTCATTGTGACATATCTAAGCTCAAGATACTTTTTAATGATCTTGGTTACTTGGGTGCTTGGACGGTCCACCGTCATTTGTTGCGCAGACCGTAGCATAATCTCTATTTTTTTGCAGATTTGCTGGTTTATGCTTTGTAGCTCCTCGGAATCCCGAAGTCAACAAGTGGCCAAGTCTGTCCCAGCTCGTCACCACCAGAGGCAGACGCTGCTCTTGCGGATCGGAATGAGATATGCCGCTATGCGACTAAAAATCAGGACGCCGGTCGACCCTGGTATTGATTTACTTTTAGCTGGGCTTCCTGATAGAAAAGCCGGACTCCTTCTCAGCCTGGGAGACCATGCCGTGGGAGTGAAACCCCTCGCTGTACATCGCAACCCGACTCCCAGAAACACCTCCCAGCCACGACGAGGAGATAAATCGTTGGGAAGATATATATATTTTAATATATAATGTATATCAACTAGAAAGATAACTTTTTTATTATATATGTGTATCAATGGGTATCAACGGTATACTGCCTCATCGTGGCTGGAAGGTGTTCCTGGGTGTTGAACTGAGATGTACAGCGGAGGACTCGTCTCCTGGCAGGGTCTGCCAAGCCAAGAAGGAGTCTGGCGTTTCTATTAGGAAGCCTAGCTAAGCGTAAACCGAAACCAGAATTCCAGCCGTACTGGTATCAAAACCTCTTCATGGTGGTAAATCTGCTTCTGATCCACAAGAGCTACGACTGCCTGTGGTGGTGAAGACCTGGGAGAGACATTGGCTACGCTGACCTCGAGATTTTAGGAAACCACAGTGGCTTAACCAAAAAATTTTCGAAAAATGAAGATTAATCTGGAGCC